GCAAGCGGGTTGCTAATTAGGTCAACCCTGCCATATGACACGTTGTTTCATACAAATCTCACGTGTATAGTTCTGATGTATACCCAGCATCATGCAGTGTCATGAGGCATACAAGATTAGGAACTCCGCATATGTAGTGTTGCCCATCCGATTTGAGCTTCTTGATCCTACCGCCCCCTTGGCTGGTTTATTCTTGTTGTGACCCCTGTTCAGTGTGCTAGGTTGTGCTATGCTGTGCTCAGGTTGGTACAATTTGTTCCAGGCCGTGCTTGCAGTCTTTTTGCAGCATTCTTGCAGCCTTTCTGGATTGGTAATTTGGACAATGTCAACCCCGTACCAAAAAAAAGTCCTGGTTGACTATAGAATTCGGGGGTTTTCAGGAAATAGTGATTAATTATCTGCTACTGAATTGGTACCTGCCCAATTCAGCAGGCCAGGGTGTTTATCAATGCGGGGTTGTCTTCAAAAGACTTCAATCCTGCACAGCACGCCTCCAATTCTTCCAACATATATAAGGGCAACATGGCTCCACGTGGCTTAACATAGTCCCAACACGGCTTGACGGGGTTCCAAGCAGTGTATCAGATATATCTGCCAAAACTGTTAAACATAACCCCAACATGAGGGACCCAAAATATCAAAAAGAACCCGACATTGACTCAACACAGGCCAAGCATAGGCCCAAGATAGGCCAATCATAGGCCCAACATAGTGCCGTGCTCAATTTAGCTCATTCTAGAAGCTAAATTAGTGCGCAAAATGGTAAGCTGGTCTTTTTCCTAGTTTCACAAAAAAAACGGTGTCCTCTTGCTGCCAACCTTTGCGCCCATGCGAATGAAAATGATATGCACACGCTGCAGAAAAAATGTCCCCTTCCCATCGCAGAGAGTTTGCAGCTTCAGTTCCACTTATTGTGATCAAAGCAATACGGTCCTCCACCCCTCTCTTTCTCTCCATATAGATATATGATGATTATATTATATTCCATATACATACACACACACACATATATATATATTATGTATGTATATGATACATATCCCTCCATATATCTCTCCATCTATCTATCTCCCCATACCCTGTACTGTTTCATTGTCATCCACCACCTCGAGAATCTCACAGACTCTCTCTTTCCTTTGCTCTTCTGCGTTTTTCTGACAAATTTCGCATGTAGGAAATGCCACCTTCATCATTCCCTTCATCGCTTTGCGACCCAGAAAAGCCTTGCCCTCACGGTAATCCCCTCATGAAAAACCTTTGATGCTCCCAATACCTCCCAAGACGTCCTCCCTATTGCTCTGTGGGTGAATACAATTACAATAATTGCACACCTTGGTGATTGCTTGTTTGACTGACCCCCCTCTTGCCCCGGAACTTGATGCTCACCGACCTCCAGTTCCTTTTGGCGTCCTTTTCCAGATCTTGCTCATGCGACTCATGCGACATCTTCCAAAGAAAACATCTCAACGTATCTCAGCATATCTCAGCCCTTTTAAAGGTTCCCATTCCCTGCATGGCTCCAAGTCCTGCGTCCTGTGCCCAACCCAGAGTACCGAATGCAAATTCTTGCATCACCAGTCGCCTTTCTATTTGCGATGTCTTCCAGTTCGCGTGCCAGCCTGAAAGTCCAACTTACAAGTCAGCAAATCTCAACTGATAGATTCTCCACGTCAAGTTCTTCTTCATAGCAATCATGCTCTTGAACGCTCTTCTATCCCAGAGCCTCATTTCTGTTCTAGGCCTTCAAAATCTTCAAAGCAATCAGGACTCTCCGCGCTGTTTTCTTCTCCCTCTTGTCTGGTTTCTCCCACAGCTTGCTGCCCGGAGACAATGCTTGTGAATCACAACCAAAGCTTGCCTTCTTCTCAATAGGGTAACATGCCATACCATCTGAACTCAAACAGCGGGTGCATGGGTGCACAGCACGAGTCAATCACCAGGACTGGCAAACCACTGTTCAACTGCTAGAGGAACTCTGACGGCCATGCTTTCCAGAGAGAGGGAGAGTGAGCAAAAGACAACTCTTACACGAAGTTGGTAAACTTTTTTGAAGAACGTGAATATGGAATAGACTCTTGCCTGGACATGGATGACCCGGGCATTTTTACTTCACAGCTAAGCTCAATGAAGTAGCCTTGTCTCGCCAGAATGTGCGCAGGACAGCTACTATGCTCAGGACTGTGCCATCATGGATGCACACGGGGAGATTGGTTCTGGCACCCCACTGCAGGACTGCTATATGAAGGGGTTGAAGCCTTGCAGCTACCCTCGGTATCGGTGGCTAGACTTGTGTGGGGCTCAATCGGATCCTTTGCATCCAGCGCATTATCAGTGCATTCATGTTCGGCTTATGACGGTGAATAATTTGTGCCGCTGCGTATCATGAATGTCCTGGCTGCTCCATCAAAGGCTTTACGAGCTCCTGTTCCATGAGCAATGCATGCTGCTTCTCATGGCTGATGCTGGAACTTATGGCAATATGGACTGCCCTTGCTGCCGTTATAGCAACCAACGAACGTATCAACATGCACGAACTTGAGACTTGAGAGCGAATCAATTTTGAATCTGTCGACGGAAGCGAGTCAGGAACGGGAATGCTACAGTTGGTGCCCCAGTCGTAGACTCCGTCTTGATCGACTTAGTCAACAATGGAGATTTGCATATTTATGTCTGAGTGTTTTTAATGTATATATGATATGTATGTACAGATATGTATACATAACATTTATATATATATAAACAACTCTCTCTCTCTATATATATATATAATATGTGCATGTAATACGATACGCGCGACAATAAGCAATCCCAGTAAGAAACCATTTGGATTCACATTCCAAATATAGGGGCATGCCCAAATAATAAGCCCCCAACTTTGGTGTGGTTTATTGATTTCCCTAGGTGCTTTCAGCACCAGGCTGATGGCATGTGCAAAGGCAGGGGTTCCAAGACACAAATTAGGTTCTGGGTTCAGTTATGTCTAGTTTGCATTGGACCGAATCACGGACAGACGGAAGGGAAACACAAGACAATAGAATTCCTTTGCAGGCTCCGCCGCTGCCCCCCCCAAATAAGACTGTTGGAAGTGAGACAAATCCAAGAATCTCAATGTGGGATAGGTGCAGGTTGTTGCTGAACGGTTAAAGTATGGCCATGTCGCGAGCAAACGGCCCATATTGAGCCAAAAATTGAAACCCTGTTGGGCTACATTGAGCCTACATTGCACCATGTGGCCTATGTGGCGATGTAGTGGCAATGTTGGGCATATGTTGGACGTCCACAGTATGTCAGACCATGTCAGACCTATGTTTGGCAGCTTAGCAAACGTTTTACGACCTTTTCAAAAAGGTTCAAAAATCACAGAATTCTTAGAGCGAAAATGCCACCAACGCAAGCTAAAGCTAACGCTGCTTGCAATTGCTTCCGACCCACAAGTGCACACACACAACACACGCCTCGGCACCTTCGGTGGGGGATTTAGTTCAAAATTTGGCTGCATCATTCTCCTTCCGTTCTGGTCGTAAGTCGTAAACACAAAAATCTAAGGTGCCCGACTATATGCAGCGAAAGAATGTGCTGGAAAACGAATCCACTTTGTTGTCCACCCACTTCGCAAGCCACCCCTTCTAGGTAGCTTTCCCTTGCAGCATGCCCGCACACAAATGCTCACACATGATTGGAGGAACTTTGAAGTCTATGAGTTTTTGATTGTTTTTGCTTGCATTTGACAATTTGATTTCCAGAGGAAGTTCTTAACATAGATATAGTGGTTGACAGAAACGAGACTGCTTCTTCGGTCCGCAGGTAGCAGTTCAGTGCTTGCTGTTGGCAATTGGCCTTGGAGCTGTGATTGTTGCCGACTCCCGGCCTTTGGGACGACAGTTTCCGGACGAGGCCGCTGCTGCCCAGTTTCGGTACAACTGGTACAATTCTAGACACGCATTGGTACGGTGCAGCTATTTGCCGCTCCTCCCGCTGCTGTCCATGATATTTGAAGCCTACCGAGTTGCAAGCAAGTCTTCATGTTGTTGTGTGCTTTTGTTTTAGCACCAAATCTGTGGCGCTTTGATTATCCTCGAATCAAGCATAGACGTAGAGAAATTGAGTGCTTCTGCCCTGTAGAGCACATGATGTTGGCAGTTGGCATGCCTGGAGGCCACGATGCTGGCCGAGGCCAGGCAGACTTGATTTTCGCCGGACACATGTTACACTTTGGCTAGACACCGGGAGGAGGGACACATCATTTGCATTGTTTTGTACACCCATCCACACCATCCTTTCCGGATTGTTCCTCGTAGTCTAGTAGACTGAAATTTGTGCGGTGTCCTCACCTGTCCGTCTCTTTCAACGACTCCTACCAATCTTTCGATTCTTGCAGACTTACGCACCTGCCTACACCTTTGTGCATGTCAGTCAACAAACATGCAGCAATGGAAAATTTCTTTGCCAGTGAAGCACGGAAAAAACCACCTACTTGTCCTCGATGCTGAACATTGTTGGCTCAACAGCTTGGAGCCAATGGATTAGGTTCCGAGTCCGTCGCTTTTGGGGTAGCATTTGTCCTCATGGACAGTACGCTTGTGTTTGCCGACCATGTGGAAGCACAAACGTTTGGCGAACACACTCGCGAACTTCGCTTCCCAGAGCCAATTGCCTTACAAAGCATCAAGGTCATCAGGAGGAGTGAAAAGTTGCCCGGATCAAGTGGAGCTTCGGAATTTGAGGGACGAACGTACCCTGATGTCAGAGCAATCGGGCTGGAAGTATTTGCTGCTGATGTGATGGCAGCAACTTCCACAATGATAGCATTGCAGTCCAGCTCTTTAGTCACATATGATGCTCCTGGCTCATTGGTCACCAACAGCATAGTAGTTCGCGGCAAATTCATCAAGCTGTCCATTGCCATTTATGGCCAGGTTTTGCCCAGTGAAACAGCGATTGCCCAGCCACCCATTGCCCAGCACCTTCGACCAAGTTCTACTTTCGAAGAGAAGCTGGACATGGCTGACATAGATGATGAAGATGACATGAAAGATCGGAGAGATGTGATGAAAGAAACCAATTTTGAGGTTGAGGACTTGGACCGGGAAGATTTTGATGCGTCAGTGCCTTCTTTTGTGCGAGCCTTAGGACTTGGTGCTGTACCAGAGGCAACTGCGCGGCTTACAGAGCACTCCACATGGCTAGGTAGTTTGCACAACACCAATGAAGTGTTGGAAGCGGACACTGTTACAAAATTAGAGGGTCTCTCCCAGGATATCGTTTCTCTTGCTCAAAGAGCGCCGGAGAACGCTGCCCACGTCCACCTGGGGCCAGACTTGGCGCGAACCTTGCTTTGCCTTATATCCCGGTGCATGGAAAGGCTGGAGTTTCGCCCTTTGCGTGCGGCTTTGCAAGCTTTGGCAACATGCCTGATCTCAGCAACAGCTGCTGCCGAGCTTCTGAGCAAAGGCCTTGATACCATCGTGTCCATACTCAAGGCACAAGATGGAGACGAGAGCTTGAAGTTGGCAGCCCTCCAGGTGTTGCTGCAGTTATCGTCACATGTGCCTGGGATGGAGGCAGTTCTGGGTTGGTCTGATGCTCCAAGCTCTCCGACTCCGTACGAGGTGGTTTTGTCGCTGGCACTTGATGGAATGCCAGGGCAGCCAAGGTCAGAGTATGTGGCTTTGACCTTGCTTCGAAGAGCCGGCCTTTACGAAGCCTTGGCTCGATTTGACGACTGTTGTTTGAAGCTTGAAGCAGTCGAAGGAAGCGATGCACCACAAGAAAAGCTGCACAGATTAGCAGCTGAGGCACTGCAAGATATTGCTGGCCTCATCGAGTACCTCAGCCAGCCAGTCACAGGACGAGATGTACAAAGCACTTGCTTTCTTCTCGAAGATGAACTCCTAAATGGCCATGTGTCAGTAGAGTCGAAGCTCCCACCTGTAATCTTTGGAGGTTGTGGAGCAGGCCCGGCAGCAAATGATCCATTTGCACAAGGGCAGCATCACCTTTATGGCTTTCTTGAGTCCTTCTTGATGGGACGCCGGCTGCTTCCAGGGCTGTGCATTTTACTACGAAGATTGCAGAGGATGCCACCAGAGGAACGCTTGCTGGTCTTTCGTCCTTTTCAACGTTTGATTTGCACATTACTTTCCTGCACTGGCGGCCCTCAATTCTTGGCTGCTGATACATCAACAATCTCGAGCATGCAACTTGGTGTGAATTCAGATGTAACTCTCTTATTCTTGCACTCAAGTGTGCTGTTGTACCAAAGCCTTCCCACGATAAAGCACGCCATCTGTTTTGGTGGCATTCTTCCTGATTTTTCCCATGTGTTTTTTTTTGTTTTCCCCCCTCCAGAGTTTTTAGTTCTGACCTCAAAGATCTGAATTAAAAGCCCGAAAGATGTGAATGCACCGACTTCTTTATTGAACCCTTATTTCAAAATGCAACAAAGCAAACGCGGAAAGGGGGATAGCCTTGAACCACCTCGGAGCCAGAACAAATGCGCAATGTTTTAATGGAAATATTACGCCCCCATTACCCCCACATGTATAGTCTACATTAGCTCACCAAGCGGTAGTAGTTGTAGCTATCATACCAACCTTCCGATTGTATTGTACAGTGATCAAAACTCCAATGCGCCCTACAACTAGAAGCGTTAGTTGTAGGTATAGCCTAGTGTAGAGGTAGGAAGTAGGATCCTGTATCCACCTGTGCCGGGTTCTAGAGTAGCCTTCCGTATGCACATGGCTCAAGTGCCCGAGGAATAAAAAGAGCAAGTGTTTTGTTTGATGCCTAGGGTGTGACAAGCCTTTGGGTGGCTGTTCCCTGGTGTATCAGCCGAGGATTTCTTTTGCGTTTTTGGAAACGCTTATCACGCTCTGTGTAACATAGGCCCCATCGCCCATCTCTGTCGCTTGTCACTGTTGTTTGTTACACCCTTAAGTCATTCTCCTCGCATTCAGGTGTTGTCTCACTACATTCAGGTGTTAGGTTCGGTTTGACTCAGCAGCAAAGCAACTGCATGCAGCATGCATTTTCCCCTTGAATTTTGCAACACAGTCGTGTTCTGGATTTTGCATTCTACTGTTTGAAAGGCGGCTGAACAAAGTTGCACAATGTATATAAATGTAATCTTCAATTAAGTTGATGTTTTTTTAGGGGTGTATTGCGTTAGTGCATATTAGTGCTGAATGTTTGCGCTACGATTCGAATACTCGGATGGTGTTGGCTTGTTTGCAATTAGTACTGCCAGCCTCAAACCACAACACTTGCGAACAATGACGCTTATCACGCAACATAAACCGATAGAAAGATCAACTGACATGGTTTTCATGACCAAAAACACCTCAAATTCAAGTTTGGCTGAACGGTCTTTACACGGAAATCCCGTATGGGCAGCGCATGACTTCAAAGCATGTTCATGCACGGCGGCGTCCCGGCGTCCCGGCACCCATGATGAAAAAACGTAACCCAATCTTGCACATTCTTGCACCACCCTTGGCGCAGCGAACAATACGGTGCAGTTGTATCAGTAAATCAAAACCAGACTTAGTAGCACATAATTCGGGCTCCTGGGGGGTCCGTTTGCTTCATGATGTTCTTGCTGCTCTTTTTCCGGTGAAGATCATAGACCTTTGGATTGGCGGTTCTTCTGCCATTCAATTTGCGGTCATTTCGTGAACCAATTTGCAAAATCTTTTGCTTTGAACAGTGTGTTTGTTTGGAAAGCGGCCAGTGTGTATCCCAAGATATCATTTTGCCAAAGTATTGCTTTGCCCAAATATCATTTTACCAAAATATCATTTTGCCAAAGTATTGTTCTGCCACAGAATCATTTTGCCAAAATATCATTTTGCCAAAGTATTGTTTTGCCAAAATATGGTGATGCAAAACGTTTATCGCACATTTCCTGGGGCAGATGCCTGCATTGATTGATATATTGAAATTATTAGTATCCCCTTGCATCTCAGGATCATCCTTCGTAGGTTCCACCAAGTCACTGCTCAAGGACGATGGTTCCACTGGAACCGTCACCCCCTGTAAGTGGGCTAAGCGTCAGCTTGAGTCAGTGGATCTCCAAAAAAACACCAAAAACTAAATAAAGAGCTGTCCGTAGCTAAAAAAGGACGATGGTTCCAGTGCAACCATCACCCCAGGCTAAGATTGATATTTGGAAAATGTACGGGTAGCCAGTAGTAGCTATCACAGGGGACGACGGTTCCAGTGGAACCATCACCCCTAGAGATTGTGCAAAATTTGGGGATTGGGGATGACCCAGATTGTTATTTTGCAAACTTTTCGGCCTATGATTTTGCGAACAAATACTGTAGTGGCCAACTGATATTTGGCAAAACTCAGCTTTGATACTTGGCATCACAATATTTTGACAAAATGATATTTGGCAGAATGATACTGTGGCAAAACGATCGTTGGCAAAATGATATTTTATTTTGGTAAAATGACATTTTGGCAAAGCAATACTTTGGCAAAATGATATTTTGACCAAATGATATCTTGGGATGCACACTGGCCGCTTTCCAAACAAACACACTGTTCAAAGCAAACGATTTTGCAAATTGGTTCACGAGATGGCCGCAAATTGAATGGCAGAAGAACCGCCAATCCAAAGGTCTATGATCTTCACCGGAAAAAGAGCAGCAAGAACATCATGAAGCAAACGGACCCCCCAGGAGCCCGAATTATGTGCTACTAAGTCTGGTTTTGATTTACTGATACAACTGCGCCGTATTGTTCGCTGCGCCAAGGGTGGTGCAAGAATGTGTAAGATTGGGTTACGTTTTATCATCACGGGTGCCGGGGCGCCGGGACGCCGCCGTGCATGGACATGCTTTGAAGTCATGCGCTGCCCATGCGGGATTTCCGTGTAAAGACCGTTCAGCCAAGCTTGAATTTGAGTTTTTTTGGTCATGAAAACCATGTCAGTTGATCTTTCTATCGGTTTATGTTGCGTGATAAGCGTCATTGTTCGCAAGTGTTGCGGTTTGAGGCTGGCAGTACCAATTGCAAACAAGCACAATTATCCCAATTGTTGCACAGACACACAGTACCAACCGCAAAAAAAACATATCGGTGGCATCTATTTGATTAAACATTTTCATTTTACATCGCTCACCTGCGTTTAACCATTCAAACAGTAGGAGTGCGAAATCCAAAACATGATTGCGTGCAGTTGCCTTGCTGCAGACATAACACCTGAAAGCAATGAGACAACACCCGAATGCTAGGAAAATGACTTCCTTGTATAATCCCAGAGGATCTGCCGGAAGAGGCTGCTGGCCCTGGCGCCTCAGAACTGACTGTTGACGGCCCGGTGCAAGCTGAAGCGGAAGTTGCTGAAAGCGCTGAAGCTACAGCTAACACACACCATGTGTTTAGGGACCTTTACTTTGGTGCCACAATATCATACCCTCTTTCTAAACGGGATGTCGAATCTCATGCAAAGAATTTTAAACATATCGTTGGCCTGAAACTAATGAGCTTGCCACCCACGCCCTCATCAAAATGGATGAGGCTCAGGAACCCAAACAGGCTGCACATCAGGTTGGTTTCGTGCCTGAGACTTCCCTTCCGAACAGATGGCCGCATAACGCTCTCTTAGAGCGCGACATCAGGGAGGAGAAGGAATGTTGTAGGGTAGTCCATTTGCAATCTGGTTTGCCACATGAGTACCACACATATACTGTAGTTACCCTTATGACTCTTGACAGGCTTTCCATTGCGGATCCAGAAAAGACCCAGTGGGAAGCTCTCACCAGAGAAAAGTTTGATGGTAAGCGTTTGTGTTTTGGGCAACTTGTGTACTACCATAAGAAACATCCCACGAAGAGGACCTTAGAACCCAACATGGCTCCTGGTTTGTTTCTTGGATGGCGTATAGATTCAGGTTTCCGATGCAGGTATGTTACTCTTGTTTTAGATTATCAAGAATATAGAACCAGAGGTGCTTCACGCGTGTTTGATGTTCCCGAGCCCGAGTTGTATCTTCCAGATGGTGATGCCTATTTTCCAGTTGGTTTTTCCAAGCGCCAAGCCTGGGTCAGGGGGGGTGATCCAGAAGACATCAAGCTCCCTGAGATAGCCCTGAAAAATGCACCGTTCCCGTTGGACGGTGGTAGAGCTTCCCCATCAACCCCCGGTCCCAAACCTAGATCGGTATTTATCACCTTAGACCGCATCATAAAGTTTAAGGAAACTTCCGGTTGTAAAGGTTGTGCCAACCTGACTCGGTACCATACCGCTGAGTGCCGCGCACGGTTCCAGAAATTGGTTGATGAAGAAAAAGAACTAGATGAAAAGTCTAAATCCAAGTCGGTAGTTGTTGAACCTCCTGGTGAAGTTCCCGAATCACTTGAAGACATGCCAGCGGAGGACCCTCCTCCCGCTGAGGGTATCTTTGATGATATAGTAGGAGAGCCCGAGCCAGCTGTCCCATATAGTGTTTCTGGTGCTGCCACTGTTCCTAAGACTTCTCCTGGTTGTGTTGATCTATGTAGGGCTACCTTGCCGGTTTTCGGTGCACAGCCTGTGCCTGCATGCCCCGCAGTGAATCAGCCTCCAAATAACAACAACCATCGCAAGCGACGTGCCATGAAGAAGAGCTTAAGGCCTAATGAGAGATCAACGCTGTTTGAGTTCGCATGCTCCCTCAACTCGCAATTGGGTTTGACAAGCGTTCAATGCGAATCACATTGGGTTAAGCAAGGGGCGTATTGACTTGGGTGGTGAAAATCAATGTTCCCAACTTGATTGTCAAATAGAAGAGGCAGCTAAAACCGCCCCCCCACACCTTTGGTCATCAATTCCCTGTACTTCAGGTTCACCATGGCAATACATAAACCGCAAGAAGAGAGGAGCTGCTGTCATGAAACGCTTAGCGCTCCAACTTCGCGAATCGAAACGACTTTTCAAAAGCTTCACTAGAAGGGCTGAGTTAGTGTTAAAGCTAGGAGGCACTGTTTCCTTTGAATGGCCACGTCACTCAACTAGCTGGAAGAGACAGGATGTTGCAGCTTTCTTTCACTCACACTCGGGGTTTATGGATGTCGAATTTGATGGATGCGCGGTGGGCCTTCGGTCTACGATTAAAAAGCCATGGCGTGTCAAAACCACATCCAAAAGAATAGTGGATGCGTTTAAGGATAAGACTTGCAGCTGTGAGCATCCCCATGAACGCTGCGAAGG